TCTTTTTTTTAAAATTTTTTTATTATTTTATTATTTTTGTGTGAGTGTACCATCAAATCAGATCTGACTGGTACAGGAGGAGATTGTCCCTCCTTTCCCGGCAGAGCATCTGGTGGATTCAAACCGTGCGCCTCTGGGATTGTAGTTGCAGCTCCTTGCCACTAGGCCACCAGAGCTCCCCAGGAAACGTATTTCTAATTAGCACTTATTTTCATCTAACCCCTAATTTTCAGGAACAGAATGCTTGCATTAAGTGTCTGGTAATGCCTGGATTGCTATACACAACTGTAAATCCATAGAAAACACCAGGAAGGAGATGTTACACATTTAACAAATTAATAGACATCACCTCTGGAGAACAAGCAGGCAGTGGAAATGAGTGAATGATTTTGCTTTATTTGCTTTGTTTGAGTATATTATAATAAAGATGTCTTTTTATATTACTTATATAATTAAGAGGGGGCTCTAGTGGCCTAGCGCTAAGAAGCTGCACCGCAATCCCAAAGGCACATGTGAGTCCATAGAAGAAGGATGAACAACTTCCTCTCATGCAATTTACTGCATCTGAAAAACTGCTGGAGGGTCAGCTATGGGTTGGTTCTGACTTGACAGCACACAGTAGCAACAACAGTATAACTAACAGCCCTGGTGGTGTAATGTGTAGAGAGCTGCGCTGGTAATTCAAAGGTCGTGCCTCTCTGGTGGTTCAAATCCACCACAGGCTTCATGGGAGAAAGATGGGCAGCTCTGCTTTGCGATCTAGAGCCTGAGAAACCAGCAAAGGGTTCAGCTACAAGTCAGTCTGACCCAACAGCAATGAGTTTAAACACATAATTAAGTAAAAAGAATGGGGGTTGGGTGTGTGGGGGGGAAATACAACCAAGAAAGATTACCAAGTGGCTCCTTGGGAAAGAATGAATCTAGACAAAAGGTAAGAAAACAGGGCGAGAGAAGAGCACACATACTAGAGACAGCATCTTGGATTGAAGCTTTTAAGAACAGGAGTCAAATAGATTTTAAAAGGTAACAAAAAGTGCTACTTTGTTTTGTGTTTTGTTTACCTTTTGGAGATAATTAAAGCAAAGCTGGTCGTTAAAATT